AAACAGACAGAGAGACAGATAGTCAGAGACGGAGATATGAGCTCATCAAATGTCATCCCTTATCACTGCACCCTCGCTGGTGCCCATCAAATGTCATCCCATATCTCATCACTGCCCTCCCGATGCTTGTCACATTGCTTCAAGGGAGCTTCTTCCTTCTTCCTTATTCCTTCTTCCTCCTCCTCCTCCTCCTCCTCCTCCTCCTCCTCCTCCTCCTCCTCCTCCTTCCTTCTCCTCCTTCCTTCTCCTCCTCCCTTCTTCCTCCTCCTCCTCCCTTCTTCCTCCTCCTCCTCCCTTCTTCCTCCTCCTCCTCCCTTCTTCCTCCTCCTCCTCCCTTCTTCCTCCTCCTCCTTCCTTTTTCCTTCTTCTATACTCCCGTGTATCCAAAACATTGCTGGGACCTATAAATACTTTGTATATGTATTCCTGGACAATAGTAAATGACCAAGGCAGGTGTAAATGTCCACCTGTGAATGTGTTTGTGACAATTTGAGTACAATTTCAGTACCTAATATTAGTGTCAGAACAAAGATTGGTAATGAAATGCCAAGAACAAAGATTGATTATGAAATGCCAAGAAATACAATAAATTGTAATTATCAGAACATAAAAATTATATAAAATATAAAAATGAGAAAAATAGGTATATCGGCAACACTTCCTCAAGCTGCAGGACTCAATGTTGCCGTCAGGTGAGCATTAAATGCCAACTTTGCAGCTTCATATCTTAGTAGTACTGACCCTAATTTTTTTATTTTAATCTATTTCAATAAAAGAAAAGATTTTTTTACTTTCAAAATATTTGGGGCACTGGGGGAGAGAACGTATATATGCATTTGGACAGGGTCAGCAGGCCCTCTCCTAAACTTGTTCTCAGGGTCAGAAAATTTTTGAAAACAAAAAAAAAAAATTTATGAAATGATAGAGAATCTTTTCCCGATCATAATGACACCAACAGTATGAAATTTGATGGAAAACTTACGGAATTATGCTCTCGCAAAGTTAGCGGTCGCGACGATGTTTACGCATCAACAATTTCACCCACTTTGGGCCCTATTTTCAGCCAATTCCAATGTACCAGTCGACAAAAATCATAACTATTTCGCTAGAACTCCATTTTTTCTATCGAATGAGTACAAGAAACCACCCATTTACCGATTTCAACTATCCAATAAAGTGGTCCGAAATTGGCAATTTTGCCAATTTCACACAAATTTCAAAAGATGCCAATTTCCAAATAGGGTCCAGAATAAACAAGAGAGACATTCCTGGCACTAAAATAACATTTCCTCTGTTCAATAGTCACATCCCCAGGCCTCTGTTACATTTCTTTTGCTTTCCACTTTGAATTTTTATTCTCACAAAAAAATAGAAGATTTACAGTTATGCAGACTACTGTATTAGTGTAGAAATGGTTTAAATAATATCAGCACACTTGTGAAAGAATATTAGACTCGCCAGTTGACATGTATTGGACGCATGGCATTATTTATTTACTTTTGACCTTTTACAAAAATCATACATTTCTGCTACTTTGAGCTCAATTTCAAGGTACTTTTCATGGTGAAACCAATAAAAGTCATCTCAATTTCCGTAATATGTCTTCCATTCTGTAAAATGAGACCAGGAAAACTAGAATACAACCATAAATAGCATATGAAAATACACTGCAAAGTCGCTGTTTTAAACCAAAAACACGGTCAGAGTTTTTTTTTTTCTCATTATGCACTGTGTGCTGCAGGATTTTTTTTATACTGTGCACACTGACCACATAGACCCATTCTTTCATATGTAGCCCCGCCAGCTTTCTCTCGCTACATTTGAAGGTGCTAGAGCTTACGCGTGCTAGTACGGCACCAACCCTGGCGTGCAAGCCATACTGGTACAGCACCAACCCTGAGAGGGTTAAGTACCCTACCAGACTCGTCCACCAACTTCTGCAACTTCTCCTTTGAATCACTGAAAAGCGCAATGTCATCAGCAAAAAGCAACTGCGACAACTCCCACTTTGTGTTAGAGTCTTTGTCATTTAATCTCACGCCTCTTGCCAGCACTCAAGCATTCACTTCTCTTACAACCCTGTCTGTAAATATATTGAACAACCATGGTGACATCACACATCCCTGTCCAAGGCCTACTTTTACTGGGAAATAATCTCCCTCTCTCCTACATACTCTAACCTGAGCCTCATTATCCTCATAAAAACTTTTCACTGCTTTCATTAACCTACCTCCTATTCCATACATATGCAACATCTGCCTCATTGCATCCCTATCCACCCTATCATATGCTTTTTCCAAATCCATAAATGCCACGAAAATCTCTTTACTCTTATCTAAATACTGTTAACTTATATGTTTCACTGTAAACACTTAGTCTACATAGCCCCTACACTTCCTAAAGCCTTCTTGTTAATCTGCGATCCTGCTCTCCATCTTACTCTTAATTCTTTCAATAATAACTACCATACACTTCATCAGGTATACTCAACAGGCTTATTTCCCTATAATTTTTACACTCTCTTTTGTCTCCTTTGCTTTTATACAGAGGTACTATGCACACTCTGCCAATCCCTAGGTACCTTACCCTCTTCCATACAATTATTAAATAAAAGCACTGACCACCCCAAAACTATATCTCCACCTGCTTTTAACATTTCTGTCTTTATCCGATGAATCCCTGCTGCTTTACCCCTATTTCATTCTACCCACTGCCTCACACACTTCCTCCACACTCACAACTGTCTCTTCCTCACTCCCTGCCCAATACATGAAATCACAGCTTCTCTATCTTCATCAACGATCACCAATTCCTCAAAATAATTCCCCCATCTTCCCGATACCTCTAACTCTCCATCTAATAACTCTCCTCTCCTATTTTTAACTGTCATATCAATTCATTCCCTAGGTCTCAACTTATTCATCTCACTCCAAAACTTTTTCTTATTCTCAACAAAATTTGTTGATAATATCTCATCCACTCTAGGTAGTAGGTTGGCAGACAGCAACCGCCCAGGGAGGTACTACCGTCCTGCCAAGTGAGTGTAAAACTGAAGCCTGTAATTGTTTTACACGATGGTAGGATTGCTGGTGTCTTTTTTTTTCTGTCCTGTACACATGCAAGATTTCAGGTACGTCTTGCTACTTCTACTTACACTTAGGTCACACTACACATACATGTACAAACATATATATACTCGCCCCTTTGGGTTTTCTTCTATTTTCTTTCTAGTTCTTGTTCTTGTTTATTTCCTCTTACCTCCATGGGGAAGTAGAACAGAATTCTTCCTCCTTAAGCCATACGTGTTGTAAGAGGCGACTAAAATGCCAGGAGCAAGGGGCTAGTAACCCCTTCTGTATATATTACTAAATGTAAAAGGAGAAACTTTCATTTTTCCTTTTGGGCCACCCTGCCTCGGTGGGATACGGCTGGTGTGTTGAAAGAAAGAAAGAAAGAAAGAAAGAAAGATCTCCTCCACTCTCTCATATTCTCTCCTTTAACATTCCTTCACCACTCTCTTAACCTCTCTCTTTCTCTCCATATACTCTTCCCTCCTTGTATCACTTCTACTTTGTAAAAACCTCTCATATGCTAACTTCTCTCTTACTACTCTCTTTACCTCATCATTCCACCATTCGCTCTTCTTCCCTCCCGCACCCACTTTCCTGTAACCACAAACTTCTGATGAACACTCCACCACTAAATTCTTAAATCTACCCTATACCTCTTCAGGCTCATTGCCTATACTCTCACAAGACCATCTTTCTTCCAATACAGTGGACCCCCGGTATTCGATGGCATCGGTATTCGATAAATCCGGTATTCGATGCATTTTAACGCAAAAATTTTCCCTCTGTATCCGATTGAAAACCCGGTATTCGATACAATTCGTATGAGACGTGTCCACGTGTGGCCTGAACTGCCCTATGTGTGCCAGTGTTTACAAGCCAGCCAGTGTGTGCGCATCTAAGGATACATTCAGTACATTCTATATTATCACTGTTTTTGGTGCTTGTTTCTGCAAAATAAGTCACCATGGGCCCCAAGAAAGCTTCTAGTGCCAATCCTGTGGTAAAAAGGGTGAGAATTAGTACTATGGAAATTAAGAAAGATTTTGAAAGGTTTGGGGCTAACCCTGAGAAGCCTATGCCAATTGTGGAATCCATTGTGCCTACTTCAAAAATTTAGGAAATGTGTGCACAGTGGGTTGAACTGCAAACCTTTTTTGGATGAAAATCACCCTAACACAGCTATTGCAAGCCGTGCTGGTGACTATTACAATGACAATGTTGTGGCCCATTTTAGACAAATCGTAAAGGAACGGGAGGTACAGAGCTCTGTGGACAGATTTGTTGTGCGACAGAGGTCCAGTGACTCTCAAGCTGGTCCTAGTGGCATTAAAAGAAGAAGGGAAGTAACCCCGGGAAAGGACTTGCTACCTCAAGTCCTAATGGAAGGGGATTCCCCTTCTAAACACTAGCACCATCCACACTCTCCCCTCCTCCCATCCCATCAATCATCACCAGATCTTCAATAAAGGTAAGTGTCATGTAACTGTGCATGTCTTCTTCAGTTTGTGTGTATTAAAATTAATATTTCATGTGGTAAAAATTTTTTTTTTTCATGCTTTTGGGTGTCTTGCACGTATTAATTTGATTTCCATTATTTCTTATGGGGAAAATTGATTCACTTTTCGATATTTTTGGTATTCGATGAGCTCTCAGGAACGGATTAATATTGAATACCGTGGGTCCACTGTAGTTGTTTATATCTTACCCTAACTGCCTCCTCCTCTAGTTTATAAACCTTACCCCTCTCTTACTTGCTGATTCCATTCTCCTTGTATCCTATCTACCATTTACTCTCTCTTTAATATACTGTATGATAAAATCATATCCTACCTCACAGTGTAATGAAATGTTTTAAGTTAACCAAGTTTTGCAGCCTATCTACTTGGGTTAATTTGTAAATTTATAATCTTTGCCAAAATTTTTCCCCAGGAAATGAGGAGACTCGGATGCAAGTGGTCTACAGATGTGCGACAAATTGATTTGGATGTAAATAGAACTTACAGGGACCATACTATGTTTCGTAAAAGATATGATGAGAAGCAACAACAGCTTTTTCATGTTCTTGGTAAGGACTTAAAGTTATATATAGTCTATTACTAGCAGCACTAAGAGTAAAGAGGTTTGTTAATTATTTTTACTGTGTATTCTTCTTTTAAATTTATAAGCTAAATAATTTAATTAGAATGAAACCTCCAAAATTGCAGTGGTTATGTATCTACAGACCATGTTAGTGTGGAAAAATCTGCAGAAGCGTTTTTGAACTCTCTAACAAAGACTTCTTGTGTTATTTTCAATGAATGTTTTTAATGTGCTGACTCTCCCTTACCGAAATAGGGTGATCCCTTCTCTCCCACAAAAAAAAAAAAAAAAAACGTTCACTATTATTCATTCAATCGCTGTCTTGCCAGAAGTGTGCTAACATCATAGTTCAGATGACCCTCCGAACTAAAACATCCCCACCCCTCTGTCAGGGTGCAGGCATGTGCTTACCACCTCCAGGAGTCAAGTCCAGCTAACTGGTTTTCCTGAATCCTTTCATAAATGTCATCTTGCTTATATTCCAACAACTTGTCAAGCCTTACATAAAACCACTTGTCTCTGCTCACTTCAGTCGATTATGCTAACACCAGCCTGATGGATGTTCAAGCCCTAGCTCTCAAAATTTTACCCCCTCCTCCCATCCAGCCCTTCCTGGGAACACCCTTACCCCTCTCTCCTTTCACACTAGAATAATATACCCTCTTTATCGTCCTCTCCCTTTAAAATAATCACAGTAACCCTTCCTCAGCTCTCTGAATTATATATACCATTAGTGACTTGACACTCCATGCCTTTTAATTTCTACATTCTGAACCCTCTGCATAATATTCACTCCACACATTGCTCTCAAATATGACATCTCTACTGACATCTCACTGCAGTGTTTAAAGCCCATGCATCACACCCATACAGGTATAGGTACCACTATACTACCATACCACCCATAGTGGTATAGGTACCATTATACCTATACCTATAGATAAATTTCTTTCCACAGATGCCTCACATACCTTTTTCCCTTCATCTGTTCTATGGCTCACCTCCTCTTTCATAAATCTATCTGCTATGTTCATTCCCAATAATGTGAATACATCCACTTCCTCCATACTCCCTTAAACCTGACTTTTTGTTACCCCCTCATCACCTTTCTCTTTCCTCTGTTCACTTTTAATTTTCTACATCCTGCACCCTGCCTCGGTGGGAGACGGCTGACTTGTTGAAAAAAAAAAATACATAAATGCTAGGGTGTTCCGGAGAGAGGCAGGATTAAATTATGGGGAATCAAATACAAAATGGGAATTGACACAGTTACTTTTTGCTGATGATACTGTGCTTAAGGGAGATTCTAAAGAAAAATTGCAAAGGTTAGTGGACGAGTTTGGGAGTGTGTGTAAAGGTAGAAAGTTGAAAGTGAACATAGGAAAGAGTAAGGTGATGAGGGTATCAAATAATTTAGATAAAAAAAAACTGGATATCAAATTGGGGAGGAGTAGTATGGAAGAAGGAAATGTTTTCAGATATTTGGGAGTTGACGTGTCGGTGGATGGATTTATGAAGGATGAGGTTAATCATAGAATTGATGAGGGGAAAAAAGGCGAGTGGTGCGTTGAGGTATATGTGGAGACAAAATAGTTATCTATGGAGGCAAAGAAGGGAATGTATGAAAGTATAGTAGTACCAACACTCTTATATGGGTGTGAAGCTTGGGTTGTAAATGCTGCAGCAAGGAGGCGCTTGGAGGCAGTGGAGATGTCCTGTCTAAGGGCAATGTGTGGTGTAAATATTATGCAGAAAATTCGAAGTGTGGAAATTAGGAGAAGGTATTAGAAGTATTAGTCAGAGGGCTGAAGATGGGGTGTTGAGGTGGTTTGGTCATTTAGAGAGAATGGATCAAAGTAGAATGACATGGAGAGCATATAAATCTGTAGGGGAAGGAAGGAGGGGTAGGGGTCATCCTCGAAAAGGTTGGAGGGAGGGGGTAAGGGAGGTTTTGTGGGCAAGGGGCTTGGACTTCCAGCAAGCGTACGTGAACGTGTTCGATACGAGTGAATGGAGACGAATGGTATTGGGGTCCTGATGAGCTGTTGGAGTGTGAGCAAGGTAATATTTAGTGAAGGGATTCCTGGAAATTGGTTATTTTTATATAGCCAGACTTGAGTCCTGGAAATGGGAAGTACAATGCCTGCACTTTAAAGGAGGGGTTTAGGATATTGGCAGTTTGGAGGGATATGTTGTGTATCTTTATACGTGTATATGCTTCTAAACTGTTGTATTCTGGGCACCTCTGCAAAAACAGTGATTATGTGTGAGTGAGGTGAAAGTGTTGAATGATGATGAAAGTATTTTCTTTTTGGTGATTTTCTTTCTTTTTGGGTCACCCTGCCTCGGTGAGAGACAGCCGACTTGTTAAAAAAAAAAAAATTTACATACCCTTCCAAGTTCATCCACCTATGTTTGTGATTTATCAACAGCATCTCACAAAAGTACTTTGCCATCAGTATAACAAAATTGAAATGACAGTGAATGCCATGTTGAAACTGGAACAACAGTGGCTGCCACGTGCGAAGAAAATTTTCTTGCTCGTCACCTTGGGCATATATGCCATAGTTTTCCCAGCCCTGATATATTGGCTAGGATTATAGGAAAGCATTCATCTTCTTATGAGGAGAAAGTGAAAGGACACAAAGAAAATGACCAGGGAGGACAAACTACAGGACATGCACTATAAGCCACTCTACCAAAAAATAATTATTTTTGTATGGTTGTACTGATTTTGCAACAATTATTTTAATATGCTGCTTTCAGTAATGTGTTGATTAGATTGGGATTTAGCAGAAATTCCATTTTGTGCCGTATTAACTCTTTTGTTTTTTTTATAGGGTTGCAGGATGACCTGGAATTTAAGAGGGCATGTCCAGACAGCTATAGAGAACTTGCTTTTTGTTATACTCAGTGAAAGTGTTTTTTTTTTTTTGTCGGGTCACCCAATCTCAGTAGGAGATGGCCAGAATGCTAAAAAAAGGGTCTCACTAGGAGGAACTCAGTCGGTTTGGCAGGAGTAATGCATTAGAAAGAGGGAACTTGGTTAGTAAATAAATTTCTTATAAATTTTTAAAGTCATATTTGCCAATTGTCTCTATTTCTGCCTTGATGTTGCACTTCTGTTTTGTAGTTGTACTTCTTAAGTTACATAAAACCTTCAATAATATGATTTTAATATAATTTTTTCTTCAGTTGCATACTCTATGTACAACCAAGAAGTGGGCTACTGCCAGGGAATGTCCCAGATTGCTGCTTTGTTACTTATGTACCTGAATGAAGAGGATGCTTTCTGGGCACTTTCAGCCCTCATGTCCTCACCTAAATATGCTATGCACGGTAAGTTTTTTAGGCTTGGAAATAATCTGACATTAAAAAGTGTTTAATTTTAATTGACATTTTCAAATTAATTGTCACTGCCTAGTAGCAGATTACTGTGTGTGATATCCATTCTCAGTATGCAATAAGTTCATTGCACAAAATGTATTGAATAAAGTGTGGATGAACTGATTTAGCTTAGTATACCTGCCATGGGCATAGAATGTATCTACTGCATAAAAACAAACACATGTATGTAACTTTACATTGAAAGTCCAGGTACAGTATTACACAGTATTAGTACTGTAACCCATGATAGCCTACAATTTCTTCTTCTTTCAACAAACCGGCCGTATCCCACCGAGGCAGGGTGGCCCAAAAAGAAAAACAAAAGTTTCTCTTTTTAAATTTAGTAATTTATACAGGAGAAGGGGTTACTAGCCCCTTGCTCCCGGCATTTTAGTTGCCTCCTACAACACGCATGACTTACGGAGGAAGAATTCTGTTCCACTTCCCCATGGAGGTAAGAGGAAATAAATAACAAGAAAAACTAGAAAGAAAATAGAAGAAAACCCAGAGGGGTGTGTATATATGTGCTTGTACATGTATGTGTAGTGTGACCTAAGTGTAAATAGAAGTAACAAGACGTACCTGAAATCTTGCATGTTCATGAAACAGAAAAAGGACACCAGCAATCCTACCATCATGTAAAACAATTACAGGCTTTTGTTTTACACTCACTTGGCAGGACGGTAGTACCTCCCTGGGCAGTTGCTGTCTACCAACCTACTACCTATAACCTACAATTTAGAAGTAGTAATTAAACATGTTCAAAATAATATTGTCGTTATTCTTGTTGTATTTTGAAACCATTGTATATCATTGCAGTATATTTCATTAATATTTTTATCCTTTCAGGCTTCTTCATACCTGGCTTTCCAAAACTTTTGAGATATCAGCAGCACCATGACAAAATACTCGAAAAATTTCTTCCAAAGCTCAAAAAGCACTTGGAGAGGAATTGTATAGACTCTGGGCTCTATACTCTCAAGTGGTTCTTTCAATGTTTTCTTGATAGGGTGGGTATGTTTCAAAATATATGATTAGCTTGTATGTACTGTAACCTGAAAAAAATAATTGCACACGTGAATCCTCTCATGCACATACACACAAACTGGTATGCACTATGAAGATAGGGTGAAGGAATACACTATAAAGATAGGTTGAAGGAATGCACTGTGAAGATAGGTTGAAGGACTGCACTATGAAGATAGGTTGAAGGAATGCACTATGAAGATAGATTGAAGGAATGCAATATGAAGATAGGTTGAAGGAATACACTGTAAAGATAGGTTGAAGGAATACACTATAAAGATAGGTTGAAGGAATGCACTTTGAAGATAGGTTGAAGGACTGCACTATGAATATAGGTTGAAGGAATGCAATATGAATATAGATTGAAGGAATGCATTATGAAGATAGGTTGAAGGAGTGCACTGTGAAGATAGGTTGAAGGAGTGCACTATGAAGATAGGTTGAAGGAATGCAGTATGAAGATAGGTTGAAGGAATGCACTCTGAAGATAGGTTGAAGGAGTGCACTATGAAGATAGGTTGAAGGAATGCAGTATGAAGATAGGTTGAAGGAATGCACGATGAAGATAGGTTGAAGGAGTGCACTATGTAGATAGGTTGTAGGAATGCACTATGAAGATAAGTTTAAGGAGTGCACTATGAAGATAGGTTGAAGGAATGCACTACGAAGATAGGTTGAGGGAACTGAACCTGACTGCCTCAGCAGAGAGGAGGACAAGGAAAGGCAAGATGGCAAAATTCTAAGAGAAATTGATATGCCAGATAGGGATGGACTATCTGAAATGAGAGGACTTGGACGAAAGAGAGACAGGTGGAACCTGGAAACAGATGAGCCAAAGGGATGTAAGGAAGTACTGTACTTTAATTTTAGCCTCAGGGTGGTTGAAAAGTTTGATGACTTGGATGAGGCAATAGTGGAGGTAACCATAATACAGTGGTGACCCGCTTATATGGTAGGTTTGGTTCCCAACTCCCTCTGAAAATCACCAAAAAAATGGAAGATAGCCTTTTTTCACTTTCAAATGCATATAAAAGCCTGATGAAAAGCAGAATGTTGTAAAACTGGGCCCTACTGTACTGTATACAGTTTCAAGAGCTAAGACTTGGCTACTGCAGTTGAAAATAGGCAAGTTCAAAAATATGAGTACACACACGTACACACAAAACTAAAATGGAAACTACAAAAATCAGTGGGAATAAAAGACAAATTATATTTGATAAGAGTTTAATATTTAAAGGAAGAATGTAAACAATGATACAAGGTAAATTATCCTCTTTTGGGTGCCATGATTTCGTACTTTCCCTGTTTTAGTGAAAGTATAGACTACTTTCCAGAGGGAATAAAAATTATGCAAGAAAGTTTATGGATAATGTGAAAAACTCTTTGCAAGATAAATAAAACTATCTGTGCAGGAAGGCCTGAATAGATAAAGTGGTATTGATGGATGATGAAACCTAAAGTGGATAAGCCCAAATAGATATGGGAGAAAGAATACAGATTTCATTATAAAATTTTTAAGACTTCAATCTGTGGCAAAAAAATTGTCATTGTGTGTGTGTGAGCATGTCTGATTGTAGTGAGTGGAGACAAGTGGTGTTCAGGATTTGATATGTTGTTAGAGTGCATGGAAGGAAACATTTATGAAGGGATTTGGGGAAATCAGTTAGCTGGATGTGGGAAGTAGAGTGCCTGCACTCTGAAGCATGGGTGAGGATGGCAGGGTCCAAGAGTGAGAACTAATGTCCCACAAAAGTGGTTGAGTGAACATCTAAATTTATTTTTAAATAAAAATGATGTGTGTAAATCTGCCATAGACCCTTTATGGGGTGCCTTCATACTAGTGTGAAGGGATCTTGATCCAAGGCACTGAAGTTCACTCTCATTTCTTTGATCAAACTTTAGTGCCTTCCATTCCCCAGATGCTGCATGATCTTTTTAGGTTCATTACTTTCCCATGGATATAGGGAAACTGGACACAACAAAATAGAACTCTGTCTGGGAAACCACCATTAGATAATTACAGTGATTTTGGTTATATGCCTAAAAAGAACTGAAATAATGAGTTAAACAGATAAAGAAAAATATGTGATTGTATGCTAATGCGTATTTTCAACTTGTTTCCAGGTTCCGTTCACATTAACTTTGCGACTATGGGATGTCTTTTTGATGGAAGGAGAACGCCTCCTGATTGCCTTCGCCTACACTATCCTCAAGCTGCATCGCCGACAAATTGCCCGCCTGGACATGGACCAGATTTTAGATTATCTGCAGAAAAAGTTAGTAGAACAATAAGCACATTGAGCTTCTTTTTCTAGATTATTCCTTCTTATACCTGTTTGGACATTCTTTGTATTTTGAGGACTTGTGGATATTTTGTGACTAGTGGATACAGAGGCCTACTACTGACAGTATTGAAGACAGCACTGGTGCAGTACGAGCTTTTATTGTGAGCTTTTATTTTGATAAGTGTGTCACTTTTTTGTGAAGCTGTGACTTCATTAGCTCTGCACATCATAGCATTGTCACTAAAGCTTTGCAAATGTGTTCTTTTCATCTAGGTTCAGTATTTTAATATATAGAAAAAATGTGTAAAAAATTATTGGAACTAGGAAATATGATATATTTAAATACTTTTACTGCTTATAACATGTTTTCTGCAGTTGGAAAGCAAACTTCATTCATAAATTGGTACTCTATAATTTGTATGCTATACAATTTACCAAAATTGGTACATGTGTTTTTGTCTAAATTACCTTGCCCAAATGATATCAGATTTGGTATTAATGAATTGAACCTAAACTTCCATACAATACTTAATACAGTATACTGCTGATAAAATGAGTAACTTCTGAGTGGCAAACACCCTTGGTGTTTGTTACTCAGTATTTATATTTTTAAGCATGTATGAGATGGGGGATATGGATCACCCTATGAAGGGTTGGAAGGAGGGAATGAAGGAGGTTTTGAGTTTTGGGGGGCTTGAACATCAAATTAATTTTTTTTTTAATAAACCGGCTGTATCCCACCGAAGCAGGGTGGTCCTAAAAAAAAAAAAAAAAAGTTTATCTTTTTAACTTCAGTAATGTAAGCAGGAGAAGGGGTTACTAGCCCCTTGCTCCCAGCATATTAGTCGCCTCTCAGGGCATGCATGGCTTATGGAGTAAGAATTCTGTTTCACTTCCCCATGGAGATAAGAGGAAATAAACAAGAACAAGAACTAGCAAGAAAATAGAAGAAAACCCAGAGGGGTGTGTGTATATATACGTATAGGCTTGTACATACATGGGTAGTGTGACCTAAGTGTAAGTAGAAGTAGCAAGATGTACCTGAAATCTTGCATGTTTATGAGACAGAAAAAAGACACCAGAAATCCTACCATCTTGTAAAACAATTACAGGCTTCCGTTTTACACTCAGTTGGTAGGATGGCAGTACCTCCCTAGGTGGTTGCTGTCTTCCAACCTACTACCTAGGAAATGGGTATGTATGGGTGTTAAATCTGAGTGAGTGCAGATAAGTGGTTTTTGAGATTTGATGTGCTGCTGGAGTGTAAGGTAATATTAGTTTATGAAAGGGATTCATAAAAACTGGTTAGCCAGACTTGAGTTGTGGAGGTGGGAATTACAGTGCTTGCTACTCTGGAGGAGAGGTGAGGATGCTGCAGTTCACAGTTCATTGACTTGTGATGGCCTGTACTTCTAGCAAGACAGCTGTTAAGTGAATGATGTGAATGTGCTTCTTTCTTGGGTCACCCTGCCTCTGTTGAAGATGGCTAATGCAGTTCCAGAGGAAGTGTAGCAAGTTTTTCCAACACAGTATTTTTATAGTGATTGCCCTAAAGCCCTCAGCTTACCTAATACAGTAGGGACCTGCTTTACGGCATTTCGCCTTACAGCGTTCCCCTAATACGGCGATGTCAAATTACGACCAAAATTTGCTATACGGCAAGCAGTCTTTCAAATACGGCGCCCCCTACCCGGTTTGTTTACATTCTCCGTGACCACATCTATTATGTCAGGAAACTTTCCAGAATTTCAAGTGTTTTAAAGTTACTGCGTATTTTATATGTACTCTGATAATTATACTTATGTGTACCGGTACCTAAATATACTTACACACTGTGCTGGTGTGCAGGTACACATTAAAATCGCTAAGTCTCTCTCTACTCATGATGCCAATACTACGTAATAATAATCACTCTTGGGCACACTAAATGTCTTATTTTACATTAATACAGTGGACCCCCGCATAGCGATATTAATCCATGCAAGAGAGCTCATTGTTATGCGAAATTATCGTTAGGCGAATGAATTTTCCCCATAAGAAATAATGGAAATCAAATTTATCCGTGCAAGACACCCCAAAGTATGAAAAAATTTTTTTTACCACATGAAATATTAATTTTAATACACACAAACTGAAAAAGGCATGCACAATTACATGACACTTACTTTTATTGAAGATCTGGTGATGATTGATGGGATGGGAGGAGGAGAGAGTGTTAGTGTTTAGAAGGGGAATCCCCTTCCATTAAGACTTGAGGTATCAATCCTTTTCTGGGGTTACTTCCCTTCTTCGTTTTAATTCCACTAGGACAGCTTCAGAGTCACTGGAGTTCTGTCGACACTACATATCTGTCCATAGTGGCCTGTACCCTCTCGTTCCTTTATGACTTTCCCTAAAAGTGTTTCACAACATTGACATGTAATAGTCACCAGCACGCTTGCAATAGCTGTGTGAGGTGATTTCATCCATAAAGGTTTGCACTTTTTCAGCCACATTTGCACAGATTTCCTTAATCTTTTTGTAGTAGGGGCAGTTTAATTTCTTCAATTTCTCTCTCCCCTCCGTCGAAACCGGGGGTTTTTTTCCTTCAGGTCTGTGTGGCCTCTTGCTGTTTGAAGTTGATCTATCAGCTCATCTGTGGTTATTCTTCATTGTCCTCCTCCCACCAACTCTTCACATCATCCCCAAACCCCACCTAACCTCCAACCCCAAGAACTTTCCCAATGCAGTAATGAATTCTCAACATGGCATAGGATGTCAGGTTAGCCTCCAACCCTTCAAAATCCCTTTTGTCTACACACTCTGGCCACAGTTTCTTCCAAGCAGAGTTCAAGTTCCTCTAGTCACTCCTCTCCCAGGCCTTACTAAAGGTTTACCACAAACATTGAGGATATTAAAGTGATCTCTCCCAAAAGTCTTCTTAGAGTACAGTTGAGTTTCTGAGGTCACCTACAAAGCACCTTTCAACAGAGCTTTTGTGTACAGTGTTTTGAAAGTTTGCAATAACCTGCTGGTCCAGGGCTGCAGGAAGGAGTGGTATTATGAGGCAAAAAAACGTCACCTTAATGAATTCATGGCCCCATAAATCGCTCTGCCACGTCTGTAGATGACCAGGGCATTGTTTAACACCAGGAGGCACGTAAGTTTCTAATTTCTTTTCAGTTAGGTAATCTTTCACATGGGAGGCAAATGCATGGTGAACCAGTCATAGAACAAGTCCCCTAAGTGACCCATGCCTTACGTGTTTGCCCTCCACAGCAACACAAATTTTCCTTGAGGACATTCTTTCTTTTGCCTGAACGGTCTGGGAGTTTTCAGAGTGATACACTAATAAAGCTTCACTTTTGCAATCACACCAGTAGCATTGGAACACATCAAAAGAGTAAGCCTGTCTTTCATAGGCTTATGTCCTGGAGTGCCTTTTTCCTCCTCAGTAATGTAGGTCCTGCTTGGCATTTCTTCCAAAACAGTCTGTTTCAATCACAATTAAACACTTGGTTCAGTTTCAGTCCTTCTTTTCTATGTACTCCTTGAATTCCTGCACATATTTTTTCAGCTGCTTGTGGTCCGAACTGGCAGCCTCACCATGCCTTTATCACACAGTGTTGCCACTTACTACGCTTCTTAAATCTCTCAAACCAACCTTTGCTGGCCTTAAATTCACTCACATCATCACTAGTTGCAGGCATTTTTTTAAATAAATCCTCATCAACTTCGTACCCTTTTCACTTATGTCACTGAGAGGCTATCCCCGCTTTTTTTTCTTTATCCACCCCAATAACAGTTTTTCCACACTTCCTCACTTGCGATTCTTTTTTCGAAAACACATTTAAACCCTTTGGGCAAGAACAGCTTCCTTGATTGTTTTTTGTTGCCCACAATAGTAGCGAGGGTTGAGGGGGGTTTACTATACAACCTGCCAGCTCGGAGACACGCACTCCCTTTCTACTTAAAATGATCCTTTCTTATTCTATAGAAATTTCTCCCCCTTTTCCTGTAGGGTTGGCACAAAGCTTTTTGGGGCCCCCGGGTCACTTTTTTTGCAGATAAATTCCCGAAACACGTAATAATACAAATGTTCCGATTGTATGCTTGGGGATGTTACCGCGGGGGCTGGCTGGGTAAACAATGCCCCCCCGGGGAACATGTGAGGCTGGAAAGGGGACATTGACGCGTCTGGGGAAACAGCGTTGAGCGGGTTTTTTACGGTATGCGGAAAAAATTTTTCGTAAAAATGTAGGGTATGCGGATTTAACGTTTTGTGATGCCAAAAGGTATGCGGGGGGCCATGTATAGGCATTTTCATTTAAACCATCTATGATATTTTCTCAAAATTATATTGAAAAACCCTTACATAGCATGGAAACATGATAATACACTCACGAATAAAAATTTTTACGTAAATATGAGATTTTTACAAAACAGCGTGTAAGTAGTGCCGGAAAAATTACGTTTTCTGTAGTCAAAACTGGGGGATAACTGTAGAAAAATATTCTTTTCAAAACCTTTACCTTACAGTGGTCCCTGATAATCGTAGTTCTCGAAGTTGTAGATTTCGGAAAACATGGATATTTTCGTTTAAAAAGGGCTCGCTAAAGTAGATGACTCGCAATATGGGGGCTATGGGGCGAAAAGCCGGGTGGAGCTGGGGTGGCCTCCCCACCACCCGTCTGGCATTGTTTACCAGTGATCGAAAGGGCCCCTTATGTGCTCCTACGAAATATTTCTAATACCCCTCATTTTGTCTTGCAAGTACTAAAAGCTACCCCTGGTCCAAAAAAAAGCTCCTTGCCAAGCCTTTGGTAAGAAAGGGGAAAATACGATTGAATTTTAAGAAAAAAATCATTGAAAATAGAAAAATGGGTTAAGTGCGGCCGAACTGGCCGGATGTATAACAAACCCTACACAACCTATGTTCCATCGGGCCAAGAAAAAGGAAAAATGGGATGCGTTGTTGCAAAGGGGGTTAAAATTTTTTTTTTTTTTTTTTT